TCTCTGTACACAAAGAAAGATCTAAATAAATGGAGGGAGATACTGCGTTCATGGGCTAGAAGACTCAGTGTGACACAAATGTTGAAATCTCCCTAGATTTGTATATGGATCCAATGCAGTGTGGGTTAAAATCCCAGCAGGGTGTGCGTGTGTGAATGTGTGATGGGTGTGAATGTGTGTGTGTGGGGGGGGGTGTCTTATGCAACTTTTGTGAGATCATTCTAAATGCATGTGGAAACGTGAAGGATCAGGAACACCTGAGTCTATTTTAAAGAAGAAAAAACCCAGAGAACGAACATTAGCAGATATCAAACTGTATAAAATCAAAGCCAAATCCACTGCCGTCGAGTTGATTCTGACTCATACTGGCCCTACTGGACAGAGTGGACCTGTTCCCTAGAGTTTCTCCAGGGGAGCAGATGCCTCACCTTGCTTTCCTGGACCACTGTGATGGGATGGAACTGCTGAACTTTTCAGTAGCAGTCAAGTACTTTAACCATGGTGCCAGCAGGCCTCCTTCTTAGATGAGCAGAGCTTCGGTGATTGAATTGCTGTGGTCTTAATGCCAGGACAGATCAACAGACAGGAACCGCATGGAGGATACAGACACGCCGTTCCTGAGTGACCTCAGTCAGCAGTTGGGTGAGGGAAAGGTGGACAGATGTGCCACATGAACTGGGTATTACTGGCATGGGGTAAAAATGAGTCTCAACCCCCTACCTCATACCAAGTATCCAAACATGAATTTGAGATGGATTGTAAACTTAAATGTAAAAGAAAAATACATTTTTAGGATGAGTCCTAGGGAAATAGCTTTGTGATCTTGGTGGTAGGCAAGTTTCGTAAATAGTTTACAAAAATCACTAGCAGTAAAAGTTTGGTAAAATTAATTTTATTAAAATCGTAGGCTAAGCACTGAACCACAAGGTTGATTTGAACCGTCACATCTGCAATTCAAACGCACCAGCCAGCCTGCCTCTCCACGGCAACCCTGTACAGGCTCACTATGAGTTGTCGGGGACCGGCCTCGAGTTAGTTCTGACTCATTGTTGCAGACTATGAGTCAGAACTAACTCGATGACACTTAACAACAACATTAACTGTTTATGAAACGAGTATAAGATGCAAGTTTTCTAAGATGTATTGTCAGGTGCCATCGAGTTGCTTCCTACTCAGAGTGACCCATTCATTATACAACATGAAGAACACTGCTGGTCCGACACCGCCCTCTTAATCGTCCCTCTTGGTTTTGAGCTCCTTGTTGCCATCACTATGTGCATCTTGTTGGGGGTCTTCCTCTTTCTCACTGACCCGCCACTTCATCAAGCATGATGTCCTTCTCCAGGGCCTGGTCCCTCCTGATGACATAAGAGGAAGTCTCCATCCTGGCTTCTAAGGAGCGTTCTGGCTGCACTTCCAAGATAGATGATAAATTCAGTATTCTTCACCAACACTCTAATTCTAAGTCATCAGTTCCTCGGGCTGTTTTTGTTTATTGTCCAGCTTCTAAGATATACAGACTGTAAACCACAAACTATAGAAGGTGTTAGTTTAGTTTTAATAACAAATACTTTAATAATTGTGAAGTGCCGTCGAGGCTACTCTAACTCTCAGTGACCCTGAATAGGAGGATTTCTGAGGAGCAGCTGGGGGGTTTGAATTGCCCACCTGGCAGTTAGTAGTGCCACCAGGACTAATAACCAACAAAAATTCCCCTCAGTGATCTCACCATCAGTTAAATACAGTGGCTCCCAAAAGATGCCTTCAAGTCTTAATCCTCGGAAACCGAATGTGACCTTATTTATAATAATGGTCTTTGCAGACATAATTTAGGTCATGATTTTGAGTTAAGATTATCCTGGAGACAGACTGGAGTGATGTGGCCACAAACCTAGTAATACCTGGTGCTGCCAGAGCTGGAAGGGGCAAGGACCCTCCCTGGAGCCTGTGCCAAACATGATCCTGCTGACCCAGATCTTACACTCCCAGCCTCCACAACTGTGGGAGCTCAGGCTTGGTGTTAGCCAGTTTGTGGTACTTTGTTACAAAGCCCCAGGAAACTAACAAAAAATGTAGCCACTTACCCTTGCCCCTGGGAGCTTCAGAAGTCTTTCTTGAGCGGCTCTGGGTCTGGTAAGCTCTTGTGGCTCCAAGCACCATAGGGGGCACGGCCACCCAGGTGAGAGTTTTCCAGAGGTTGGGGAGTGGGCGTTACTTCCAAGGATTCATGCCCACGTACTCCTCCACCCTAAAGTTTGCTTATTCTAGGAAAGAAACAGCATTTCTGTACATAGATGAGTGGCTACTGATGAAACACGTGGGTCTGAATTACCAACACTGAAGAGTGAAATATATGACAATTAAACCCTTTAAATTTGTACACGTACGGAAGCAGAGGAGAAACCATGAGCCCATCCTCAGAAAAGTGACTTTAACTGAAAAAAAAAAAACCAGAAATGCATGTTCTTTTCCCTCCTAGGAGGGGTGAGCCCGGCTCGGGGTGATGGCAGGAAACCGTGTCTCATGCTCAGAGCAGCGTCAGGGGGGCTGGCGTAGAAGGACCAGGACAGTGGGGGCTTGTGGGTCCTCAGGGGAGGATGACAGGAATGTGAGGGTTCCTTCTCGGGAACTACGAGCTCTGGTGTGATGGATACTCTGTGCTTGTCATGCATATGCTATCTGGGTGTGACCCTCTCTGGGGGCTGGTGGACCATCCTGTCTGCAGGCTGGTTCCTCTGTCCTTGTCCACGGTCCTTGTGAAGGCCAGTTCCTCCCCAGGCAGCAGGTTGCTGCCACTCGGTTTGTGTTTGCTCTATCACTGAAGTTAACGTTGCCCCGACCCGCACGCTCTGTGTATGGCATACGTGGGCTTGGTGGGCAGATGGGGCAGCTGCTGGAGAAGCTAGTGAGCCCCAGTGCAGTCATCACAACGGTTGGAGCTTTCCTCACGAGAGTGAAAAAAGGAAACAATTGTAGGATGTATTTGATAAATGATGGTACATTCATACAGTTAAAACCAGACAGTTGGTTTAAATCATGGCTTTGAAAGATGAGGTTGTCAAGATGACAGTATCTTATCATTCCAACTTTAAAAAAAATAGAGTTGTGTGCTTATAAGGGATGCTGATGGCTCAGTGAGTAAGCACTGTATTACCAATCCCACCAGCCGCTTGACCAGAGTCGGCATCCGTAAAGATTACAGCCTTGGAAACCTTTTGAAGTTGTTGTGTCCCACCTCATAGGTCACTGTGAGTTGGAACTCACTCAACAACATTAGGTTGGCTTTCTTATGCTTTTGCACAAAATCCTGAAAGACAGATGCTTAACTGTTAGCCGTAGTTGTCTTTGCACTGTGGGCAATGGTGCGTTTTCATTTTCCCTCGTGAGTCTTTGAGAACTTTCCCTGTCTGCATCAATTCCTGTCTTCTCTTCCCTGACCTCTACCCCAGTCCTTAGCACTGGTCCCATATGTGCACACAGAAGCCCCTTACCATACGAGGGAGCCTTCACTTCTCACAGGCAGGTGATAACTAGATGGGACTGCTGAGCTCATCTCTGCTGCCTCTGTTGGGGGCTTGGGGCCCTTTGTGAGCACAGAAACAAGACGTGATGACACGGAACGTGTCATTGTGGTATCCCTATGCCTTGGACTGTGATGGCCTCACTTTGGAGGGGGTATGTGGTCAGAAGCACAGGTCACTCTGCAGTCCTGAGTGTCCAGAGTCCTCCGTACCAGAGACACCCACCCACCCTGTGTCTGGACTGACTGATGGGAGCTCCAGAGGATGAAGTGGTCTCAGGTGCAGGCGGCCACAGGCCACGTGGGCTCTAATAAATGAAGATGTTGCATCAAGAGTACTGAGGGAGCAGACACGTGTTGTCTAAGGGGCAATAGGAGTTGCATCAAGAGTACTGAGGGAGCAGACACGTGTTGTCTAAGGGGCAATAGGAAGTGTGTGGGGGGCTTGGGCCCTGGTGTGTCCCGGACTCCTCCCTAGTGTGGCCTGCTCTGTCCGGTGCAGAGACAGCCTCAGTGGGGCCAGCAGCAGCCTGATGGGTGGACGGATGATGGGGCGGAGCAGGTCCCACGGCTTTGAGAAGCCAGGCTCCTGGGCCCACCTCCAGGAGAACCTTGGGTTCCTCTCCAGTGCCCACAGGCCTGGGTACGCAGTAGCCTGCACTTGGAAGGGAGGTCATCAGACCTGACACCAAGTGTGACATGTGTAGCCACGTGGCAGATGTCTGAGGGCTCTGGGAGTCTGCACAGGTGTGGACGGGCTGGGAGAGGATACATAGCATCTTGTCAGCTGCCTGCCTGGCCAAGACCCTCTGGTTCTCTGGGCTTGGGGGCTTGTGCCATGCTGGTGGGGGTCTGATACACCCCAGGATGTGGAGTGGTACACCAGAGGGCAAGCTGTAAAGCCGAATTGAAAATGCCAATGACAAAACAGTCTTCTGGTGTGGCTGCACACCCCAAGGAGGGCGGGAGGCTGCTCCCAGTGCCCCCTGCTCTGGCAGAAGTTGAGAGGACGGACCCCAGGAAGTGTCTGGGAGGCTGACAGTGGCATCCGTTCCCATGAGACCCCAAATCCCACCCAAATGATCACCAAGAGACTTTCTGCCTAGACTGTGGGGTCACGGCTGTCCCATGGAGGGGCGTGTGGGGTTCACAGAGCCTGTGTGAACAGAGAGAGGTAGTGACAGGGTGAGCGCCTGCCACCCAGCGAAGTACTCAGCATGGCTTCTGTGAGCATTAGGATGCTGCACTACCGGCCTAGGTGTTGGCCTCGGTTCAGAGTGGTGGTCCCGCTGGAAGTGGGAGTGGGGACTGTAAGCAGGAGCTGGGGCGTGGGGTGCTGCTGCTCGGTGGGCTGTCAGGCCATGGGAACCACCTTCGTCTCTGCTGCTTACCCCTCAGGTCTCCTGCACCCTCCCTCCTGTGGTTCACCTCCAGAATGGGGTGGACCACGTGGTGATGTGCTGTGGTCTCTGTCTTTCAGTGAACGAGTTCACAGTGATCAGGAAGAAGTTCAAGTGTCCGTACTGCAGCTTCTCAGCCATGCATCAGTGCATCCTCAAGCGGCACATGCGTTCACACACGGGCGAGCGGCCGTACCCCTGCGAGATCTGCGGCAAGAAATTCACACGGCGCGAGCACATGAAGCGGCACACGCTGGTGAGCCAGTGGGACGTGCCGTGTGCGTGCACGGTGTGTGTGTGGGTGTGTGTGTGTGTGTGTGTGTGTGTGTGTGTGAGCATGCTGAAGGCAGGTCATGGCACCCTGCCCACTCACCACCTCTCCGCTGGAAGCTCTTCCGGGTTTCTCTTCACAGTTGCGCTGCCTGCCTCTTGCCCTCTTCCAGTCCACTGCCCATCCTTGCGCCTGACCATGCTCTTGCACCCTAGGCCCCGCTTCTCTGCTCTTCAGTGCCTCCCCCAGTCCTGGCCTGGTGTTCTGTCCATAGATGAGTTTGTTGCTGGACTGGTCAGCAGGGGTCTGAGAAGCGGATTTATTTGACCAGGAGAGGATCAAAAAGGGACTTGTGTGTGGAACCTTGGGACAGGAGGGCAGTTGGACAAAACATAAGGAGAGTCATCTCCATGGGCACAGTGCCTCTGTCAGGAAGGCCTGGCACTGTAGGGTCAGCACTGGACTGCTAACTGTAAGGTCGGTGGTTCAAACTCATCAGTTGATCCTTGGAAATCCTATATGGCTCGTGACAGCACTTAACAACGTCTCTCAGAAGTTGGCTCAGGGTGGCTGAGGGCTTAAATGGCTGGGCACTGGGGTGGCTGGGGACTCAGATGGGGGGAGGATCCACCTGAAGACTGTGAGGGCAGGGTCTTGGCCAGGTGTGGGTGGTGGGGCCACAGGGAGACACCCAGGCTCTCAGCTTAGACTGAGTGTGCTGGTGGGGCGGCAGGGGGTGGGGGTGGGCAGGGAAGAGTATTAGAGTCACCTGTTGGGAAGGGAGCTGAGTTTGTGGACTTTGTGGGGGTCACCCCTACAGTGTACTTGAAGGAACAGAGCCCCCTCCCCCAGTAGCCGAGCAAGGGATGGGGTCCTCAGGACTCATAGGGAATACGGGCAGGCAGGCCCCTATAGGGAACGGCTGTATTCAGGTCTCTAAGGGATAGAGGCTGAGCTAAGGTCCAGACCTTTGAAGTGGAGCTGGCTGACCCGGGGCCACGACCCTCCACAGATGGGGTTCAGGGGCTCCCTTCACCCTTGCAGACTTGATTGTGGGGGCACCGTTGACCACGCTGGCTATAGAGCCTGGAGTGGACCCAGCACTGAGGGGCCTGAGAATTGAGAACTCAGGCTTTGGTTTGAAAGTGCCCTTTTGTCTGGTTTTGTCTGGTTTGCTTCTACAGAGTTGAATAGTTAAAGCATGTGGCTGTTAACCGAGCAGCGGCTCAGTCCGCCATGTCCGTAGAGACTGCAGTCTTGGGAACCCCGTGAGGCGGCTCTCCTCTCTCCTGTAGGACCAGCAGTGGCTTTGCTTTAGTTGAATGAGTACTATTTTAGAAGGTCTCCTACAACTATCATTGAGTCGGTGCTGTCTCACAGCGCCCCCTGGTGTAACAGAGTAGAACTGCCCCACAGGGTTTCCCAGACTGTCGTGGATTGTGTCACTGTATACTTGTATATACTCTTAGATCATCTACCCACAGCGCCCCCTGGTGTAACCGAGGAGAACTGCCCACAGGGTTTCCCACGCTGTCATCTTTATGGCAGCAGATTGTGTGGTCGCTCTCTTGAGCTGCTGTGTGGGTTTGAACCTCTGACCTTTTGGTTAGCAGCTGAGTGCTTAACCACTGTGTCACCAGAGCTCCTTTAGAAAAACGTGTTGCTGGTATTGTTAAGTGCAGTGAAGTTGGTTCTGACTCACAGTGACCCTGTATTGGGTTTCTGAGGAGCAGCTAGTAGGTTTGAACCACTGACCTTGTGCTGATCCTACAAACCTTAGAGGGGTACACATGGCACACCTCCGTCACTTCTGCTCAGAGAGAATTGATCTGGTGCTGTTAACATTCGACCCAGTGTGAACAGCAGTAAGGTTATCTAGGAAAAAGTGATCTTTTCTCTTACAAACCCATGTTTACCTTTGGGTAATTTTTTAGTATTAAGAATGAATGTTAAATTCTTAATACGTGTAAATAATTTATTCACTAAGTACACAGCTTTTTTTAAAAAATGTTTTATTGTGAATTATGTGATAGTTTACATGGGAGAACATTGGTTTTACATGGTTACAATCCCCTCCATGCATCATCAAACAACTAAAGGGTATACACTACAAGCCTGCCCCCCAACCCCCGGTCAGCACACAACCCCTCTCCCTCTCTGGATCTAAAGTCCCCAGCGGCTCCATCTCTCCATGTCATCTTCTCTGCCTCCATCTCAGGCATCACTGATTCTCTGGATAGGGTCCCGCTCTCCGCTCTTCTCTGTTGATGGTCCCAGGGACCTCTGCTCCTAGACTGAAGAGTTAATCACTCCCCTCCTTGCTACAAAATGTCGGCCTTTACATTTCAAAGCCTCACAATCAGTCCTGATAACAATTATTCACTGTTGTATCACAAGAGACCTATCAGCATTTCATTTCATCAGCCCCGCCTAGTCAGATTGGATACTACTCAGTGGAGATTCTACCTTCCTCTGTGCCCTCTGGATCTAGGTTCCTTCTTGAAAGCTTGTAAGCTAGTCACTTCTTGCCTTTGTAGCCCCCCCCCCCCATTTTGGGGCGCCAATGTCCAAGTTGCCCATCCCTGTCAGTATGCAGCTTTTTATTGTGGTAAAATCCATGTGATAGAAAGTTTGTGGTCCTAGCCATTCATATGTGTGCAATCCAATGACATCAAGACTATTCATCTTGCTGTGAGACCATCAATCATTTCTGTCAGTGCCCAAGCAGAAACTCAGGTCCCGGTCTCCCTCCTGCCCCTCAGAGCCAGCTGGAAATGGTGGTCCCTCTGCGTTGGCCTGTTGTAGATATTTGGTTGCAGTGGGGTCACACAGTATGTGGCCTTTTGTGTCTGACTTCTGTTGCTCAGCGTGATGTGTGCAAGGGTTGTGGTATTTCGTATTTGTCTCTTTACGGCCAAGCAGTGCTCCATTTTCTTCAAGGACCGTGTTCTGTCACCTGCTGGGCTCCTCCGTGTCTCATCCCGGGAGGCAGGCATTGTCCTGGTACTTGCTTGCCTTACCTGGGCTCCTCCCTGAAAGGTGTGTTCAGAATTCATGATGGCCTTTTTCTAAGGAGGGGCTTTTTCCCTACCAGTGGCACCTCTTATGAGAGGAGCAGCAGCCAGGACCCCTAGAACTATCTTCTCCTTGGCAGGCAGTGGGTCCTGCTGCTCTGCAAGGATAGAGGCAGAAGTTAACAGGACCTGCTGCAGTAATGTAGCCTTGACCCAAGCTCCTGAGGCCTCCAGGACTGATACAGTGGTTGCCATGGTACCGACATCCTTCCTGGAGCACTCCTCAGTTCAGACGTATGCCCAGCCATCTGGTCCGAGCCGATATACACCTGAGACCCTGCAATGCCTTGATGATGCCTCAGTCTTCTAATACAGACCCCCGCTCCTGCTCCCCACACAGCTGCTCCCCTCACCTTGGGAGCCTCGGACCCAGAGGCTGCCGGGGTTCCATGGCTCCACTCTTAGCCTGATGATGCTGGCTGGTCGCCAAGATCATCCATACGGAATACAGTGCTAGTTGTAATTGGTCTTGAATTTTTATTTTCTGTTGAGGGGAGGCAGTAATGTCACTTGGGTTGGTGTTACGCCATGGACTTCCTCCCCTACCAGACCAGACAAAAATCCTAACTAGTGTTTATTTTAATTCTAGAAGTGGTGTTGTTGTTAAGTGCTGTAGAGTCAGTTCTGACTCATAACGACCCCGTATAGGGTTTCTGAGAAGCAGCTGGTGGGTTTGAACTGCTGACCTTGTGGTTTCCAATCCAGTGCTGATCCTACAGCCCCCCACTAGGAGTCCTAATCCTAGAATAGTATGTGACACATATAGTTGTAATTTGCCTAAATGTAGTATTTTTTAGGTTACATGAATACAAATAACAAACTTGTTTTGTAAAATCTTTCCACATTGCCTGACAACATTCTTACTTATAATATTATTAGTAACTGAATGGAAGTCTCGTGGTTTTTAATTTTCTCTTTCTTTTCCTTTCATTGCTACATCATTCTCAAAAACGTTATTGATATACGTTCACCAGTACTGCTTAACACAGCATTGTAGCTAAAACACCAGAAGTCTGACAAAGTCTGAGGCTGTAAAAACACAGCAGCGTGTGTTTGTAGCACATGCAAACAAAACCATGTGATTCAAAGTGTCATTGTAACTGGGTGTTAATGACCAGACACACTGTTGTTGTTAGGTGCCGTCCACTCGGTTCCGACATAGTGATCCTACGCACAACAGAACGATCACATTGCTGCTACGAGACTGTGTCGATCCTTCTTGTTAGGGGGTCTTCTTTTGTGCTGACCCTCCAAGGTGAATTGGCAGTTTTACCACTGTAGGTATGCATGTAAGCTGGGCTCATGAAAAGGGTTTGCAATGTTAGAATGAGCTAACTATGTTGTTGTGAAGTGCATTTGAGATGGTTCTGACTGCTAAGGACCCTGGGTAGGGTCTCTGAGGAGCTGCTGGTAAGTTTGAACCGCCCACACCTGACGTGGCCCTCTAGGGATACCACTGAGGGGAGGGGTTCTCCCATCCAGCTGGGACACGCTCCACAGAGGCAGGGGGCAAACTTGCAGAATGCCATCTGTCGTATTTTCAAGGCAGCGTTGGAGCAGCCCCCGGGCAGGCTGTGGCCTCAGCTCAATCCCCACACCTGGCCTGTCCCTTCCCAGGTTACACTTCTGACTCCCACTGATTACTGGGAACTTGGTTGGACACTTAATGTTTGAATTACTGTTTTCATGGTTCGGCATTTTGTGACTTTGCGGTAATGTTGCTTCTAGAAAGGAGGGATGGCAATTCAGGGACCCTCCAGCCCCTCATAGAGAAGGCCTTTCCCCAAAAAAGGTCCTCCGATCTCCCAAGGGAAACCTTTACTCCACCTTTGAGCTGACCACCCCTCCCCATCTCCGCAGGTGCACAGCAAAGACAAGAAGTACGTATGCAAAGTGTGCAACCGTGTGTTCATGTCAGCAGCCAGCGTGGGCATTAAGCATGGTTCGAGGCGTCATGGTGTGTGTGCTGACTGTGTGGGTCGAGGTGTGGCCGGAGCCCTGGACCATGGGGGCGGCGAGGGCTCCCCGGAGGCGCTGTTCCCCGGCGACGGGCCCTATCTGGAGGACACTGATGACCCCCGTGGGGAGGTCGAGGAAGAGCTGGACGAGGATGGAGGCCTGGCCCCTGAGGATGCACTGCTTGGGGATGAGAAGGACGAGGGGGACTCACCCCGCAGCCCCTCGGGGGAACCTGATGAGGACTTGGCCTGGGTCTCCTAGGCGGCTGACTCCTCGTGGGCCAGAGGGACCCCCAGCCTGGAGCAGCATCACAGTGGGCCTCCACATTCTTCCTGCAGCCCAACCTGCCTGCCCACCCCCAGTCACAGAAGACAGTGGGCCCAGGGGGCTGCTCTGTGGGAGTGGGGGCATCGAATGCTTTGAGAAAAAAGCAAAGCGTGTTCCCTCCAGGACCCCCCATCTGCTGGCCTGTCTATCCAACCCTCCATCCGTGGGGACAGATGGGAGCTCCCAGCAGGTGCTTGGTGTAAGAGTGAGCTGGTGGGCCTTCCTGCTTTCATGTCAGATTTTCCCAAGAGTCGGGGCTGGCCTGCACTTCGGACGAGGTAGGTTCTGAGGAGAGAGCTTTGCATAGCTGAGAGCAGATCGTCCACCCCTACCACCTCCTCCTCTTCCTCCTCAGCAGCCTGGCATTAGCAGTTCGAACCCAGGGAGAGTCCTGGCATAGAAAGCCTGAGACCCTCCTGCCTCTGGGCTTTGGTGCTCAACTGATACACTGCAGAAACCCTAGGCCGGCTCCTCGGTGCTATTGTCTGTCTGCAGAGGCCTCCGCACTCTCAGGCCAGCTGCCTCTCTGCCTGCCCTTCTGTGGAGAGCCCGCCGGCGCTGGTCTCATCCCCGTGGCTCTGGCTACCTGCCTGATGCACCCACAGCCGTCGGTGGTGGCCCACTTCCGCTGACAGCTGTGGGTGGAACGGGCACCCACTCCTGCCTTGTTGCTGCTACACTGAAGCCGTCTGCTGCTTACCCCTCCCACTCCACTCGAGTCCACCAAATGTTGAAGTCACAATGTCATGCACTAGTTCCGCTAGTTCCATTGGCATTGTTCTCATCACTTGACAAACACGCTAGCTGTGTAGAGTCCTCTTGCTGTATTTTTCCAGTGAGCTCCCAGTTTATCACCAGAATGGCCCTTTCCCCCTCTTTTTCTTTTTTCGGTTTTCTGAAAGGAAAGTCAAGACCCCACACTGGCAGCCCACCCACTATGAGAAACCAAGGGTGGACTGCTGCCGGACAGACTGCCTGTGGAGGACAGCCCCCCTCGTGTCCTTTCTGACCACGTCATTAATGGAGACTCATCCTCTCCTTCCTGACCCTGGACAGAGGTTGGAAGTGGGGGTCTACCCCAGCAGATTCCCTGGGGTGCTGAGCAGTTGTGCCCATTGGAACTATACTGTTTTTATTTAATTCTCCAGTCTTTACAAACCTTTTTAAAATTGCATTACAGCTTTTCTTTATGGGAAAAGAAGCCCGCACATTCCCTTACCTAATTTTCAGCAGAGAGCTTGCGCTTCTGAACACACCATACCTGCCTCCCAGACTGCCCCAGGCGGGGGACACCTCACAAGTTTTTTTAGAAAATAAAATCAGTGACCATTCCTATAGTCATCTAGGAGGGGGTACACTTTGTGGGCCTCAGCAGGCCGCCAGGATCCGAGGAGCTGGGGTCCTTGTTGGGAAGCCGGGCAGGCTTTTGCTAACCACGTTGCTGCCTGCCCTCTTGGGCCCCCCCTGGGTCTTTGTACCTTGCTCCCACACCTCTTTTGTAACCTCTTTTCTAGACAGACTTACTTTCTTATAAAATGCTTTTGGCAACTAGGCCTTTGTACCAACAAGTGTCTATTGGCTCCGTCTGGGGTTATTCCCACCTTGGCCCGCCAGGCCCCCAGGGCCAACTCACCTCCCTCAAAGGGCATTTAGCCCTTCAACACTCAGGATTTCTCTTTCTGACCGCTACCCCTCTGGACCAACCTCCCTGCCTTGTGGGGGGTCCAATGTTGTTGCCACAGGGGTCTTCTTCCTTAAAACCAATATTGTACCAGAAAAGCAAGGATCCCAGCCTCCCCTGCCCCCACAACTTCCCCCAAAAGTAGTGTTCAGTTGCAGGTTCCTGATTCTCAGCCGCTGTTCTGATAGGCAGAGTGTTGAATTTCCAAGACCAAGGTGGACAGATCTCTCAAGAGACAACAGGGAAAAGACACAGAGGGTTTTTTAGTTTTTTGGTGTGTTTTTTTTTTTACGTGATTTTTTTTTTTTTCCAAATCAATGTTTAAACTAATAAATATTTTTTTATGAAGAGGAAAATGTGTAGATTACATTTCACATTTTGTATTTTTTAGTTTGTATGTTTGTATTTGGTATTTGCAACACCCAAGGGGAAACTTCGGTCCCCTGGGGGTTGTGAGTTATTGGGGGGGAGGGGGGAAGATCTCGGGGTTTTGTACTAAGCTCTGGATCCTGACCAGGTTGTGTTTGGACTCTCTGGGTTTGGGGACACAGTCAGAACACCGCCATGATTTAATAAGGACCTCAGCTCAAAAGATAGCTGAATGCTTCCGATTTTGCACATCTTGCTTCTTAAAAAAAGAAATCTGAGAAAAATGCAAAAACTGGAATTTTTTTTTTTTTGCAATATTACAAGAATCTTATTTTAGGTTATTCTGTGACAAGTGCAACTCTTAAAGCCATACTCGGTGGTGGTGGTTATTTTTAGATCCAAGTTGTGTTTTGTGCCTGCCCTTTCGTTCATAACGACTTGTAATGAGAGTGCTGTACATGCTTTTCCTAAATATTTATTTTTTCAACATACTTTCAACCTGTCAACAAAACGAAACAGACAAAAAGAGAAAAAAAGGGCAGTGTTTGAAGATTGTTGACTTTTTCTGGGAATATATTATATCGACTTTATATTAATTATTATAAGCCTGTGTTTGTATTAGAGCTGTGTTTAATATTTGGGGAGAGATCTTTCGTATCCAGTTGGGGAACATGACTGTTGTCCTGCCTTTGTAACCATAGTCCAGGTCAACCTTACAGGTCCTGGGACTGGGTCTCCACGTTTCTTGTCTGCCTAGGCGTGCTCTGGGGCCGCCTGTGGGGTTCCTTTCTGTGACGGGATTAGTTTAGACATTCTTGCAAAAGCGACCAGTTTCAATAAATTGGGAAATTGCTGCTCAAAGTGATGCCTTTGTGTGTGTCACAGCCTGGCAGGTCCTGAGACCCCCCCTGCCCCCAGCAGTTCCTGCCAGCCATCCCCACAGCCCGTAGACTCCCAGGAGTCTTCCTTCCCACCAGAGGCAGACGTAACTTCTGGAAAAAAACCCAAATCTTTAATTTTTCTCCTTGCCTGGTACGGCTCAGACGGAGACACCTGAGGTTGGGGGCACAGTACAAACACCACCTTGGGACTCTCAGACCCTCGCGGTAAGTGCAGTGACCTCTCCCCAGTCACCCCTCAAAGTGCATCTAGGGCTGGCCTGGCGTGGTGTGGCCTGAGGCCCTGTCAGCATCCTGGAAGTTCTGGGGTCCAGAGGCAGGGTGGGAACAGCATACACTTTGGCTATAGTGCAAAAGACTGGCTTCTCCAGAGGCACTTTGAGTGGTCAGGGTACCCCCACATCCGGGGGCCAGAGTTACTGACCCCCAGTGTTAGTAAGTGTGCCTGGGGCATACAGTCCAGGCCTGGCCTCTCCCAGGCTGTGGCCCTGGGTCAGGGTAGATTAGTTTCTTCTTTAAGAAGCCAGGAGCTGGGGGCTCAGTCCAGGAAGCGTTGGCAAGCCTTCTTCCAGCGACATGCCATGCACCACAGCTCTCTGTGGTCCATGCCGTACACCTTCCGGCATTTCTTGGCATCACCTCGAGGCTTCCTGGGGGACACCAGGGAGCAAATGGGGCGCTGTAGGGCTGGGGAACTCCCCACCCTGCTCCTAGACACACATACCTGGGGTTGGCAGCCAGCTTGGAGGGTAGGGCTGGTGTGAAGCAGGCCCTGACAGTGGGGGGCTGCGGTTCCAGGTGCATGGGGTCCAGGCAGCCCTGGGTGGGGGGACACACACAGTCATGGGACCGCTCCACTGCCGAACCAGTGTCCCAAGACCCACCTCCAGCCACCCACCCAGGCCTCAAGTACCTGGTAAGCATGGTCACTGTGGATGTGGCACACCTGTCCCGAGACCACCTGGCTCAGTATCGGGGTTGGGGGCAGGGCTGAGGGCTCAGGCAGATCCAGGCGGGGAAAGACGGGCGGCAAGGAGGCCGTGGGAGACACTGGGGTAAGACTGGACAGCCCATCGGACAGCGCGTCCACCCCAATGTCCAGCTCCGTGTAGTAAAAGTCTTCCTCACCATCGCTTTGCTCAGGCTCCGCCTGGCGCCTGTGGGCACACAGGAGCTTAGGTGGCCGTCACCCCGGGTCCCGCCCCTCCCCTTCCTCCTCCGCCCCACCCACCGCACCCCAGATGCACCACGCGGATGTGTCTCTGCATCCCGGAGGCCGAGCTCAGCACCTTCCCACAGCTCTTCCACAGACATTGGAACATGACTTGGGCCGAGTTCTGGAAATACAGGGGCCAGCGGTCAGGGTCAGCACCTGCAAACCCCACCCTCCACCCCAGGCACCACCCCCCTATGCTCACCTTCCTCTTCCTCGGAGTTGGCTCCCCAAACAGGAAGTGGGCTGCCTCCAGGGGCAGTGGGGGCGACGGAGTGGACGGGGATGCCGGGTAGCTGGCCAAGTCCCAATCTCCACTGTGGTTGCTGCTGCCATCGTAGCTGTCCGGCAGCTGGCCCAGGTTCTCTGGCCAGGGCTCCAAGCTGGGCTCTGTGGGAGAGCCAGTCAGGGCCTCTCTCTGTCCACTTGAACTGGGTAGGCAAGGCCACAGGAAGGGGTGGGGGTGCCTGGCCCATTTGGGAAACAGTTGCTGGAGAGGAGCCAAGTGGCGGTAGGCAGGTCTCAAAGGTTCATAAGGGGCTTTAGGGTTCTGGTGTCCCTTTCAGAAGAGAGCTCAACAGTTGTGTTTGGAAGGCGGTGCCGCAGATGCCAGGACTAACTTTCCTGGTCTGGGGGGCAAATGGTCCAGAGAACGGCCCCACTGCCACCCCTGGGCACCACCTGCGTCTCACCTGAACTGAAGGCTGCAGCCGGGGCCCCCAGCAGGAGGGGACTGGTGGACAGGCTCGTGAGGGCTGTTGCGGCCATGACCTCATCCAGCCGCACTCTTCCCGGAGGGGATCTGAAGGGGGGGTGCAGGGTGCGGTTGGGGACCCAGCAGGTGCTCCTGGCCACTCCCCTAGCCGGCGTGCACACACGTGCAGGCTGGGGCACGTGGGTGCGCCTCAGGCGCACTTACTCCGGGCAGCTGGGCTGGAGGCCCAGCTCCACCCCTGCTCCGGTTACAGTCATAAGTCACCACCAACAGCCAAAAGCAGGGCAGAGACCGGGGTCGCTGCTGCCTGGGCTCCGACCCAGATGGCTCCTCAGGCCCCGGCACTGGGCAGGGGTCTGAGGTCTCGGTGCGGCGGGTCAGGACAGGCCCAACCCCCCGCTTCACACATTAACCAGGGTTGTGCAACAGCCGCGCGCAGGCACAGCGCCAGGCCAGGAAGGCGGGGCAGCCACGGGGAGGTTGGCCTCCAAGCATCGCCAGGAACCCGGTCCCAGCAGTCCAGGAGCCCTGTCGGTCACAGGCAGCACGTGGGGCAAGAGGTGACGGGAGGGTCCTAGGTTGGGCTGGGTGGACAGCGGGCCAAGGCGCGCCCGCACAGCGCCTCCTGCACATTGATGCCCACTCCCAGATCCCAACTCTGCACTCTGGTCTCCAGGGGCAGGACAGACTGGGGATCCAATTCGGTTATCTTTCTGCGCTCAATAACCCCCAGTGCTGTCGAGGTGGAGAGCCCCAGAAGCCCAGTTTAGACTCCGGACCGAGGCCCTTGGGAAACTGTCGGATAGTCACGGGCCCGTGCCCCACCCACCGCCCTACACGCCCCAGCGCACGTGTGCGCACGCCCCCCTGGTGCGCCACCACGGCCCTCGGCTCACCTCTGCACGGGCACCGGGATGTGCGCCGACTGGGGCCCCGGCGCCACCCCCACCCAGCTCCCCGGGACCCACAGGTCCAAGGCCCGCGCCTCCGGCGGCAGCGCCAACTCCAGACCCGCGAAGCCATCACCCACGGCAGGTCCCTGCGGACGGGGCGTACTCAGGACGGGCGGCCAGCTGGGCCCACTACCCTGCACCCAGAGTTTGCGCAGCGCCTGCCTCCCCCGAACCGACTAGGGCCGGTGTGGACAGCGCGGCCCCGCCTCCAGTCCCGCGCGGCGGGAAGCGGTCCCGGGCCGCCAACTCCACGGCTCGAACTGGACGAACACCCGGACGGTTGGGTCCCCGCCCGCCCCGCCTCCGGGGACCCGAAGTTTGCGCGGCCCCGTCGCCATCTTTGCTGAGAGAAACTTGGTTGGCGGTCGGGCCCCCTGTCCCGCGGGGATGACAGTGCCCCTCCGCGCGCCGGCCGGCTAGGTACCTGCGGCGGCAGCGCGGGCCCCGTCCTGGGCGCAGCGATCGGGACCGCCCCCTCCGGCCGTAGCCTGGGCGCCTCGTCCCGCTGGGCTGAGGGGCCTGAGACGGCCGCAGGGGCCCAGCTGGCGGCGTGCGGCGGGGGGCAACCGCAGCCCAGTCCCGGCGCCGGGGGGCGTGCGGCCTCCATGGCGGCGCCGGGGTGGGCGGGTGTGGCGAACGCAGACACTCAGGAAA